TTATCTAAGAGAAGAAAAGAATCTAGCAAAATTAATGTTTGAACAAGCAAAGATTTGTGAATAGCTTTCTTCCAGCTGAGAACTGGCTCGACACTTGCCACTTGGCAAAATAAATAAAGCAGGCGTATATTACTAATTTTTGGCTGCCTTTTAATCGAATTAAATTTTCTTTTGGAAACATTTTTTGTCCATTTCATTTTAAAATAAACATGGTGTTGTTTAAACAAAGTAAAAAAGCTTAACCCCCCCGCCCCCCATTACGTACTTAATGCTGATTACATTGGGTCTGCACTCTCTATTTCTTCTGAAGAGTTTTATGTCCACTGATCAGTGGGGCCTGTTAAGACTTTTTTTGTTTTAATTATGTTATCCACCCTTCAGTGAGTTCTATACTCAAATATCTTGCCATTTTGGATACAGTCCACATACACTCCCAGTCCTAGCTTCTGCCTCCTCTTCTTCTTTGCTTCAGTTTCTCCTTACATTGAACTTTGTGGCTTGTGATCTTCCCCAGGTAGGGAACATCTGATGTTCCTGGGACTCCTTACTCCACTGCAATTACCCATTTCTGTATTTTGCATTCAACTGGGGTTTTTAATTTGAGGGAAATTCATTCTTTCATGCCTTAGGTTGCTCATCCTGTTTCTTTTCTTACTGGAAGGCAAGCATATGTCTACAATAAGAAGCACACACAGCGATCAATGCTACTTTGACTAAACACTATGCTCCTGAGGCCGTACTGCTCTCACCAGCTATCAAAATCCTCTCCTAAAATAATACCATATTATAATATTGAATTACCTACCCTTGGCCTTGAACTGGGATCCTCAAGCAAAACTATGGGATATTAGAAACAAACCTCATATAATGGAGCCAAAAAGGTATGACTGTTATGGAATAAAGTAAATAAAATAGAAACCGCGTACAGTGGCACTATAGCCAATATGAGAGAAGGGAACAAGGGGAACAAGGTAAGAGGCGGTGGCAGAAACATGCAAAACACTGAGTTCTGCCAGAGCCATCACCCAAGTGTACCCGGCAAACTCCACCTCTTCGGCTTTAGCCAGTGGCTTAAGACACAATTACAAGACACGATGACAGACCTAAGGAAAAATGACTTAATTCTTCAAAATTCTTGATTCATTAAACAGAAATAATTTTCATTCTGGAAAAAAATATTTAACAGTTCTGAAACAATTCCCGAGACAGAAAGTACCTACCAAATTTCAGGACTGTATAAAATTGGAGAAATTATGTTGAGTACCAACTCTAACACCTGGATAAAACTTACAGTGTCACATCTGGAACCAAGAAGAGAATCTGTTCCCACGCTTAATAGTAAGATTTTTGTTGTTGTTGTCGTGATTATCAGAGACAAATACATCCTCAGAAACATGCAGCTCTGGAACCTGAACTCCTGTTATGGGCTGTATTAGGTTTTTTCCCCATTTCTTCATATTCACATACACTCAGGTCTCTAGCGATACTTATTTCAGTAGTTTGACTACTAACTATTAACTTAAGGAAATGAACGATGTTTGCAACTTTGAAGATTTTAACATGAAAAAAATCTCTTATTCATTAAGTAATATAATTAACCCCCTTCACCTCCAACTGTGTGTTTATATAAACACAGACATATATGAACATATATATGCACACCCCCCCTTATTTGTACCAATTGAATAAAAGCCCCCATGTCGCTGCTACATATGATCAAGAAGCAAATGGCAAGGAAGAGAAAGAGGAAACACAGGCTGGCATTCATACTGAATAGCATTTAAAGAAAAAAAAGGAAAAAAACCCAGTCACATTCCAACTGAATGCCGCTTTTAAATCTCCAGCCCCATCCTAAGTACTGCTATTTAGAATCGACTTCATGAAAATGCTATTCAAAAAAAGAAGCTTTTGACTAGAAGTCCAAAAGAATTCTAAGTTAATGTCATCAGGTTTTATATATACACATATGCATACACACACAGTCTTTACCAGGTGTCAAGAGCATTTTAATAGATATTACAACACTCCTCAAAGAGCATGCTCGATACCTCAGAAAATTACATATAAAAACCTCATGTGTAATATTCCAAAGCAGATGACTGCTTACAATTTTGATGTTACAGTGATCCAACTGGTTACAGAAACCATACAGTTAATGCTTCAGAATGATAGCCAATTTCCTGTAAGTTGGTTTTAGTCAGTGACAGTAAAAATGCAATAATAAAACTAGTATATTTTATTGAATAAAAACCAAAAAGAGAGGTAAAGTTTCTGAAGTTTCACCTAGAACAATTATCTAGGAGATTTTTTTGTTTCTTTTTTGTTGGTATGGTTCCCACCAAAAAGCAAGTGAACTTAATAAACCGTAGAAAATACTAGTTTTGCGATATAAGAATCTGACTTCAAATTATCTGCTATTTTTTTTGTAGAAAGGTTTTCAGAAGCACAGTTAATGCATCTATGTTCAGTTTATAAAGTGCACAGAGTTCATGGCAAGAAATAATCTACTGTAGAGAGTAAGAATTTGTGTTCCAAATCAAACTGCTCCAGACTGTTACGTTTTCCTCTCTCTAAAATGCTACTGAATAGTACAGCTGTTACAAACATGATACTCAAATCCAAGAATTCAGCAAACGTCCATTTCTCTGCCATATTTTTGCTGGTATTAAAACACATATAATGCTTTTGGACCCTCTGGTAAAACTATACCACAAAACCAGTCAACAAAATCATCACAATTTTTTAGAAGTCTTAAACCTTGGCTTTTGACATCTCTGAAAAATTCCAGTTCAATATCATCTAGTATTAACTGCAGTGTAGTTGTTTCATTATTATTACAATGATGACTATCCACAAACCTCACAGTAATTTTTACATTAAGGTTTATGAGGGATGCTTTTTACACACTAAAAACATCTCAGCTAAATAGACAAGCAGACAGTTCCGAGTATTTTCCTTTCCCTCATGCCTTCAGTCAGTTTGTTATTCCTCTCTCTTCCTCTACCTTTAAAACAATGTAATTAAAAGCTTCCCGGCGTTCTGAGAGGAAAATGTTCAGACCTGCTTAAAGCACCTTGTGATTTCTTCATGGAAGCCATCTCAAGCAGGATTTTTAGTCAAGCCACCTACTACCTACAGCAATGTTCCACAAAAATGATGAGCTTAGAATAATAAAATAGGGGTAATTAAAAAAAATACAGGATTCACTTCTGTCAACTCATGCCTGGCAACACAATAGCATTAAACAGAAAGCTGTTTATCACAGCTTCTCTCCCCTTGAGCTATCTCATACAAACAATACAATTGCTTTGAACCTACTCCACATCCAACTTACTTAACTACTTTATGACACCTACATTGAGTCCATCAGGACTTGAGATCAAGCTGACTTTACAGACCAGAAGCTGAATTTTTCTTAAGACAACTGATGTGCAAAGCAACACGGAGGAGAAGAAATGCTTCTTTTCTCCATTTGCAGAACAGCTTTCCCCCCTCACATTTGTATCACTGTTTCTCAGACACGGCTATTCCCTGTGTTTTCCAAGAGTTCTGAAAGTTAGGATAATCCTTTATAAATGTCTCCAAATCTTAAGAAATGTAGATGATCACTTTGCTATCACTTGCCATCCTCCATCTATAGATTAAATCCCAGATCTCTGTATGGAAAGAGCATAAAGGCACGAGCAAACAAAAAATCTAAGCCTAAGAGTATTTGCCATTTACAGAAAGTGGTACTAGAAGTAGGCCACCTGAAAGAAAACAAACACTAAGGAGTTTCATCAGGGGGTTTTAAATGTAATTTGTCTAGATGAATTTTAATTTGCCGTTGCTTCTGACAAAAAACTACCTTATTTCTGCCTCTATTGCAATGAGAATTTACAGCTTGATTTTTCAAACTAGGGTTGGAACATAGTTACATGTCTTACTAACATAAGCGATAGTTCATAGTATTTGGTAGCTACAAGGTTTTTTTATTTATAATATTATAAGTAAAGCTCACAAATATGCCACATAGTGTTGCTGTTAAAACAAAATCCGAGTTCTTGGAAGATGCTAACTTTATAGTAAACAATCAATTATTCTCCTTTTTGTTTAGGAAGTGTTAAGAACATTCAAAATAACTTTACTTTGGTCCATCACAAGAAGACAAAAAAAAAAAAAAAGGGGGGGGGGGGGGGGGAAGCAAAAAGAACAGATATCCTGCTAGAATTTGTCCTATGTCTAACCTTCAAGAGAAGATCATAGTTCTGTCCTGCACCACAAGCAAACATAAATAGCCCCAAAGTAACAGCTGCTTCAGCACATGCTCATGAGAGGAATACACAGCAAAGTTTGTGAAAGCAGACTTCTTTTATCAAATTCTGGCCTCAACACTCTTCCCTCAAGGTGATACAGGGCATCTTCTATGCAAATTCAAGGTCTGTCCCAAAGCTGACCAACATCATGTTAACTCAGCATCCTACTTCTACACCCAGGAAATACTAATTTTCTAAACTTTCTCAACTTTCACACTCCTTTCATATTACTCAAAAGTAAAACTAAGGATATACCATTATAAAGTTAAGTACATACAAACATACAGGCTTTTACAGGGCTAAGTTACAATTTGCCAACTGTCTAAAAAGCCTATTGGTAATCATGTCAATTATGCCATAATTTCATAAAGTTGTTTTGATCTCGACATTTTTAAATAAAAGATGACAATCAGTACAGTTTGGTTTACATATTCAGAGTCCAGCATGCATTCTTTAATCAGAAGATTCTCTCAAATAGTTGATAAGACACTGGCTAAAATGACAAGCTGGTCCTAATGACATGGAACAGCTTTATGTTGTGAGGTTTTTTGGTCTTATTTTAAAAAAATATACTAGTTTTATTTTTCCTTAAACAAGCTCTACCATACCAAATCTGTGTCAAAAGAGACATCACAGCTTTACAACACAAGTATATTTTACGCATTTTTTTTGTACCAGGCTTAAAAGACCACAAAGCAAACATACCTGTGTTCTGTGAGAACATTTACTGCTGATGGATGGTTGGCACAGTATGCAAGGTATAAGCTTTTCATTTGTGGCATCAGATTTAGAAAACATCCTCCAACCCTCTGCTGAGCTTCAGGCAACCTAAAAACAGAGTAATAAAGATGAAATTACTGTAATACCAGCCAGACACAGAAATAAATTAAAGCCTGGAAAAGCAGTGTATACTGGGGGTTTTTTTTGTTTGGGTTTTTTTTTTTGTTGTGGTTTTTGGGGGGTTGTTTTGGTTTTTTTTAACAAAATCAACAGATCAATTTCTATGGTCACTGACCAGCAACCAACACCCTTCTCTTCCTTCACAGCTTCAACCCTGTAACCATCAGGCCTGATTATGCCACTACAGTACAGGCAAAATATGCTACATACCTGTAAGATGGTCATTCAGCAAAATTTTTTCAAGCATTAGTGGTAATTAGCACCTTCTTTAGGAGTTTGATTTTTCAGTCAAGATATAGCTATCTGTTAGAACAGTTTACTATCCACTTACATATGCCATGCCAAATCTTAAAAGTAGTATTTCAGCACTTAGATAAAAAAATGGATGGAGTAGCAGCAGGATTCTTTCTCTCTACCCTACACCAGCAGAGATGATAGGCTTAAAATATTCATTAAAAGACCTAAGTACCATATTAAGCTCTGATAGCAAAAATAGAAGCCAGTTACAGTGCAGTAAGAGGCTGTTTTTACACAATTGTCACTCATCTTGCTTTTTAAGGACCATAAAGCACTTTTATGTTGGTTTGTAACCAGGGCAAGAGTGCTGCTTTACCACCATCAGTATAGAAATACTTTCTGTAACTCATACTTCCTTCATCTTTCATGCTCAAGTGTACCACATTTGCTAAGCAGTGAAGGAAAATTTCACAATTCTGTTCAGAACAGCTTATTTTGTCTAGCATAAAATGGTGCTTGAATAACAGCAGCCTCAGTGATTTTGGCAAAAAAGATGAGTCAGCAAAGAGGAACAGTATTTAGAAGAAAGCTTACTTTCACACAGTCTTGGTGAACCTAATCAGTTTTGATCAGATTTGTCAGAGGAATAAAAACATATTTATCCACATAAATAAGGGATGACAGGATATGAAAAAAGATAATATGAATATACATAGTGTATTTTTCAGAAGTTTCTAGCAGAAACTGTCATGTCAAATTGCAGTAAGAAAATAACTGGAGTATAAATATCTGAAACTGGCTGTGTGGCACCAGCGTAGAACTGGTAGGATCAGCAGAAAGTAAAAGTCTGACTTCTGATTTTGCATCTGTATAAGCAGGGGAAAAAAAAGAAAAAGAAAAATGCAACTCTTCCAGTCTTATTCTTAGTATGTCCTTAAGCTGCATACTTCAGATGCACACTTACATACTTTTTAAAAATCTAAAATAATTTTCCAGTTAAACACAAACTGATGGGAAGAAGCATATACTCTAACCAGCCATGCTTCCTTACTGCTACCATATCACCATTCTCAGAACCACTCAAAAATATCCATGCTAGATTGCTTCCTATGTGAGAAAGAATAAATTGGACAAACAAGTGAACAATATCGTAAGGGTGTCAGAAGGGATGAAACCCTATTATTTACTACAGAGCAACTCCCACTTGAAGGACTAACCCTCTTCAACAGTAGGTTTTATGGCCAATAGCCAACTGTATAACCCACACTGAAGTTAACCAGAAGATGGGACACTAAGTTTCCATCAGTCCTAGACTACAATCTTCTCCCTGATACCTTGGCTAAACCCATTGTACAACATGTGCAAGGAGATGAAATGGTTCATTTCTCCATATGTTTCCTCTCCTTGCATAAAGATTGCATCTCCTGGTATAAATATGCCAAGTCTTTGCTTCAGCCTGTTTGCAAGATGAAACAAACAGTGGATTTTGTTGCTACTGTTATCACCCCTTTAAGTACTCTTAAAACTAGTATTCCACACTGCTCTAAAGCTGGATGAGTCCTCAGTAAGTATTCAACAGACATACCATTAAGCACAGTCAAAGGGTTTCATGCTAAAATTAGTTCCAACAATTCTCTCTGGAACAATATTGTTTTTATTTAAAAATACATATTTTTTTTAAAAGTCAGGATTTTCTGTAATTGTCCTGAACATGTGCACAAAGTCTCTATAAACATCAATATTTAGCATATTCCCTCTGAAAAAGTGAGAGATGCTCCAGTGAACTCCAGCAAAGAGAAGAATTGTTCAGCTTTCCAGGACAGCCACTCCTCCAGGCAGGGGATGTTCCCATCCTGCTCAAACACAGTCCTCTTCTCCCACTCCTTGGGTTTGTTCATAACAGTTAAAACTCAAAGTCCATCCCAAGATGATCCCAAGAAATATTCCCCCAAATTTCAAAACAATAAGTCTGTCTACTACTAAGCTGTTCAGTCCCTCTGTATGGTGTGGGAAAACCTACCCAGTATGAAGTCAAAATTGACTGTACAAGTGATCAAAACGCGAGGCAAGGAAACACGCTTCCTTATTTGAAAGCAGCTTTCGTTACAAACGCCTGGAAAAGGAGAGCTGAACCCCCAGCTAGCACATCATGCCAGATACACTCTGACCACGTTATCAGCGCTCCTTACATTTAAAGGCTAGAGCCTTTATTTTATATTATTTTATTGCCTGCATCTTTCTTTCTCTTTCAAGAAAAGTTTAACTTCTGAAATCAATAGAGTGGCTGCTTTTGCAGGTATTCAGGGGAAAACCAGGGGCATTCCCCAGCATACCGAGGGAATGCTATTCTTGGAGCCCTCCGAGCAGCATTTCCTGCTCGGCAGCTGGCTCCCTTTAATACATCTAAGCATGAGCTAATAATACATTCTTCGAGTCATAGATGCAGCAAAAGTCTCAAACTCTGAAGACATACTCAAGGCATATAACTCCGGATTAAATAGTAAGAGGCCCCAATAAACAGTTGCTGAAAACGGTTAAATTCCCTTTTCATGCTGTAGTGCCGGGCGGGGAAGTGAATTATGGCTGCTGGCACCAAGCAGACATCTGTGTCTTCTCAGTCTGCTGTCCTTTTAGCAGAATGAAAGACTGACATTATTCTCTTTTACATATTGCACATGCATTGCAACTTTATACTGCACATTCTTTGTTGAATTAGGATAATTAATAGATTTTATGAGGGGGTGGCAACTCATCCCCCTGTGACTTTTCTAATCCATGCATTAGTTGCAAGTGTTCTACTATTTTTAGTGGAACAATTAGTAAGTTATCTGTATCTCCTTTAACTGCTGAAGAAACCAAGAATTTAACGCCTATCACCACATCACATAAACCTTTTTGTAATTAATGTGTTCAATAAAGAGCACAGTTATTTTACAATTTATTCTGAAGTTGTCATCCCAATATTCTTCTCATATTTGGTACTTTAATTAAAAAGGAATCAGATATAACTATTTTTACATATATATAAATGTTAATAACTTCAGTTATGAAAAGGCCAAAGATATGTTTTAATTTTGTTTACAGAATTAAGAGAACCATAACAAAGCCTTTGCTGCTGCACACATGCTAAAGGCATCATCATATGACTACATCTTAACTACCTAACAGATTATCTGCTTGTTGGAGTTACATCCAACAGCTATCCGTACTGTTTCTGCAGACTTGAAACGGGTTCCTGCTGCATCATAATTTGAGAAAAGAAACGAAGAAAATACCTTGTTGCTCAATCGTGCTTACTTTAAGATTCTGATCAAAACCAGCAATCAGAACTGGACTAAAGCTAGACTGACGGCCAACAGAGAAAGAGTGACATTACAGAATATCTAATTACGTCCTGCCTGTTCAGAAGAAATGTCCCTTAGTTTTGGTGTCAGGGGATATTACAACGTTCTGGGAAAGGCTGTGGAAACTGTGATGAGTTCAAACAAATTTAAACACAGACTAACAGAGGCAATTTTAAAAGAAAAGTAAGTAACGAAATGTATGTTTTCTTTTTGGAAAGAAAAGATCAGATGTCCCCAAATTTCACTGAAGTGTGTGGTTACCATAAGAGTGTCATGCAGCAATCTATGTCCCTATATATAGGGACACACACCTGCAGAACCTGCTACAAACTGGAAACTTTCAGTTATCTGGGTGGCATTTTCTGCTCTTCCCCCTCTCCTCCCACAGAAAGATAAACAGCAGAATTTCCAGCCCCTCTCGCAGGCCTCTAGAAGGAACTGGAGCATCAATGATAAGTTTGCTATGTTTGCAGGAGGTTAGTACAGAGAATGTCTTGAACTTAAAAGCTGATAGCAGAGAATACCCAGTGCAAGTGAAGGTCTGCAAAAATTATTAAGGGATAATTGTGATTAATGACTCCAAGGGATGCAGCTTGTGAAGAAACACAAGATTAGATGTTATCTCCCGAGGCTTCACAGTTAACAAGGTTACTGAAATAAGGGGGAAGCTTTGCAACTTTCTGAGCTACTGTTTGCAAAAATGGAGGCACTATTCAACTTATTCACAATCCATCAGTAATTTTCAATGCTTCCTTCCCAACCACACCTTTCACTATTTGTCTATTTGCCTTACCTCTCAGACATCAGTTAATATGCATGTTTGTTTCAGGCAACCTGAAGACACTGTATGCAAATTAACTTAAAGTTAATAGCCTTATTTCTGTTGATACTCACAATAACCAAAAGCAAGGGACAATACTGGGATAAACCTTTAACAGACTCAATTTATATCTAGACTCCAAAACCAAATCTGAAACACTCTAGTTTTGGATTACATTTAAGCGCTCTCCCTTTCACACCCTGGCCTCCCTCCTGCCTTTTTTTTTTTTAAATTCCCATTCCATTCCAGGATCATCCCAAAACATGAAGTATCTACTTGCACTCCAAACACAGAACAAGATAAAGAAAAACACCACAGTTACTGTGACTGCAAGAGCATGGACGTGAGGGAAAGAGAAGACAAAACCCAGCTACGGCTGTTACGGGGCAGGGAGGTAAGTCAGTGATACTACTTAAAAGACATCCAGTGCCTTCGACTTGCTACAGAGTGGATTATACCTGAGCAGTCCATGCAGGCTGGTGTCACCAGCCCACCTGTGTGTCGTGTCCCGTCCCCCCCCTATGGAGAAGTACAGCCATAGACTGACAGCGGCTATTCCCAGGTGAATGGAAGACTTTTTTTTTTTGGAGCAGGAGACATCTGTTCAATCTCCTGCTACAAAAACACCCAAAGAGCAATACCTCACTTAGAGATCATTTAGATCAGCCCAGAGATCACCTGATGGACACTGACTTTGTTCGTTCAGAGACCCCTCTGCTGTGTGAACCACTGCAGAACTGATCTTTGGCACTGGATCACACACAGATCTGGAAAGAGACCTAGAGCACTGGACTACTCCGGGTCTTCAAGAGACGGGAGCACGGAGTGCTCTTGCCCTGTTTTACTGTCAGAAATCTGCCCTTTTGCCACTGAAGGCTCTGGCAGCAAAACAAAGTGCACTTGACACTATCGGTCAAAAAAAAAGCACTTTTGAAGCAGATCAGCCGGAAGATTCTCACTCGGTGCTAGACTTGTTTCATACGCCACTTTTGTTTGGTAAATGAAGAAGAGAAGTCACGAAGGTAGAAGTAACCCCCAACGAACCTGTCCGATGGAGCCCAGCACCCAGGCAGGCAGACAAGCAGTGTTCCCAGGCCGGTGACAGATGGAGCAGCCACAGGAGCAGCCCAGTGATGCTGCAAGAGAGGCCAACCTGGACAAGTTCGAGGAGGACAAACCTTTAGCAACGCGCCAGAAGAGCTTCAAGGCTGGGGGCAGGGTGGGACAGTGGCACACAGCTGAAACCAAACCGCATCCCAACAACTACCTCCCCCGACACACATGAAGCACCCACTACAGCATTATGTGTTCTGAAAAAAACAGCATCCAACGTTTAACAACATGACGATTAAATAAGCCAAAGTGGTGCAGGCAAGAAGAACAGCAGCAGAAAGTTTCTGTCACTGAAGTACATGCCAGGATTTGTTAAGAGAAAACTCAGACGACAAACTGACTCGAGAGGGGTGTGGAATTCAAAAAACAGTCAACTCTTACGCCCAAGAACGGGAATTTGTCGAACAAGGTAGGCTGGCAGCACTACAACTGGCAGGACATCGGCATTTGGTCATTCTGACATGTCAAGTTAGAAAAAACACCACACCGGATGCTGCAATATGAAGTGCCTGAATGATGGAACTATAAGCTCTCTGCCAAAAATAAAATAAAACGATAAATCTATTTTCAGACCGGGAGCTACTCTGAGTTTACAGAACAGGTTCACCAGCCAAAAAAACATGGCAAAATGACAAAAAGCAAGGCAGCAGGGCAAGCATTCTTCTACAGGATGGGAATTATGATGGATTAGATTCAAAACAGGAGGAAGCTGGACTCTCATGTCAATATGTTATGATAAAAATTAAACTGAAAATACAACTTGGCAGGACCACCATATTTATGAAATGAAAGTAACACAAAACATTTGCAGTAACCCTTCAGTAACCCTGGGGCATCGCTTCCTCTGCCCACCTACTAGCATCCATTATGTTCCTAATTTATTACACAGCAACGTTTCACTTAGCAGAAAGAAGAAATAAAGGACATTGTGAGAAGGTGCTCTAATAGAGTTTAAATCAAGGAAGGAGTTCTAAACAAGCTTTCTGAGCTTGAAGCTACATTATGATATCACATTAACCGACACACCAAGTCAAAACAAAGCTTGCATTAATATTTGTTTAAAGACATATGCTCTTCCACCCTTGTTTTTAAGACCACCTTAATCAAAAGTTTTAAAAGATGACAGCCTGTTCATGCCAGGTACTTCATTTCCCTGACTTCTGATTCACAGAAACAAAATCATGATAACAAAAGAAAGAGACAACAAAGCGCAGTGACAAGAAAAGAAAGAAAACATTTAAGTATGGGGACAAAGGGTCATTCTCAGGGATTTAGACACTTAACTAATCAAGTCTAACTTGCCAGAAAGAATATCCTTCCTCTCAAACACAGCATGGAAGAAAAGCCACTTCAAGAAGGTTTCCATTCGACTGCTGAATAGTCACCTGAACTACACCATCCTCCTTTCCATTCTCCCCTAAGTCATCTAGAGGCAGAAGAGAGGGAGAGAAGCCAGGTGGTAGGAAGATGTGGGATCCAAAGTCAGCAACAGACCCAGACATATGTCACTGCCTAGTGGAGATGCAGCTTATACTTCGTCATGACAAAGCTTCCTCTTCACATGCAGCAGCTCAGAGGAAGAGAGGAGGGAGAGGTCAAAACAAGACACGCTGAGCTGATCTAAAGATCACTGCTGCCAAAAGAGGTATTTTCTCCTCCACCCGAGACATTCATTCCTTCTCACAGCCAAGTACTCCCAGCAGACTGAAACTTGCCTAAGCCCTCAGTAGCAATTCAAATTACTAACTTGGCAGAAAACAAGCAAATTTGGATTAGCAAGTGGTCAGACAAAACCAGAACACAGACAAGGAAGAGGGCACAACTGAGGTTACAAACAGGAACTACGCTTTCAGTGGAGTTTCAACACTAGAAAATTGTTAGGGCAATTTAAACGTGATATGGTCACCTTCTTCCTTACACCCCCAAGTGCTGAGGTACAAGCTGAAAAATATCCAGCTACCACTTCAGCCTAACCTATGGAAGGAAGACAGGTGCCTTCATCCCCTTCTTTCTGGGCTTTATGCTTCCTGTGTGGTACAGTACAGGCATTAAGGATTTTTTTTTAAATTCAGATTGTTCTTTCTGCCTGCCCTGCATGCCTCTCCCAGCACATTTTGATGACCACCATTGTCCCGGACAGAAGAATACTAAGCACAAGCATTCTCATACAGTGTCCTTCATCCAAGTCACGTACCGCCCCTCCACTGTTCCATCACAATGTAAGCTCCCTTCATTATTTCTCTTACTTTAAGAAAAGACTTAAAATTAATGCCTCCAAAACAAAAAAACACCACTTCCTCTACCACTTCCCCACTGGTATGCAACTGCATCATGGAAATTCATAAATTGTTTTCAAACTACGTCAAAATTCCTACCTCTGCAATTGCCTCCTAGGGCCAATATCTATCTGCACAAGCAATCAATGCATTATCCAAACATTACTGTACTGCTGTAGCAACTATGCTTAAAGTGAGAGGAACAAAAATGTCAAACAACACACACAAGTAGAATAATAAAAAATATTTGCTTGTTAGAATTTTACAGTATCTAGTATGCATAGTACTTACTTGGTGCATTCTTCTAAAGACTGTACAAGCATTTGCTGGAAAGAACTTATTTCTTCCAGGTTTCCCATTAAGTATGAAGTATTTGCCGAGTTTAACCTGGAGCCAAAGTAAATAAAGGGTGTTTACGTTTGCAGTTATTGACTAATTGTGCTTTAATAAAACCTACAGCCTTAAAAGAAAATGTTTACTGGTTGTTAGATCAAGGACCAGGCTGTTCTAGTCAGCAAGCAAACTGAATAAAAGCAAGCCCTGCCTCAAGAATCTCACTGTCCACACAAGAAAATGCATATTGACATTGAAATTTTGACCATGTAAACCATCCCCAATACATGAGAGATCTCAAGCTTGATTTTAAAAAAAAAACAAAAAACAAAACAAAAAAACCCCCACACACCCAACAACAAAAACAAACTCACATACTTTTCACTGGCTTGTAATGGTCGCAGGTAGTTTGAAAGCATTGTTTGTAGCTCCTTAGCATATTCATTTTCTGTTTCTAATATATTTTGTAGCACCTGCAATAAATGACAGTTGCTAATTGGTATTTTTCAAGAGATACTTCAAAATCTTCAAATAAATACCACTTTTAAACTGTACTAAAATTTACTCAGCACTAGGAAAACTAAAATCAGTGTTCCTACATGAAAAATATCAGCAAGAAAGCATTGAATACTATAAATCTATGAAATTCACAGGAAAAAAACCACCACACCCACACACTATGAGCCATCCTTTAGCCATATACCGCTGTTTTTGTAAGCTAACAGGAATTTCAGTACACTTAAAACTTTTACTGTAAAATTTGAGAGCTATACAGTGTTTTTCCAAAGCTAGGGGTAATCATTCTTCCTATATGCTTCAGAACAGCCAAAGATCATCAGAGGTTGGTAAAGCACAATAGAAGTTGTAAGAGAAATGAACAATTAGTGACGTTTTCTCGGTCTCCATTACAACATGTTACAACTAATTTTGCTAGTGAAGTGTTTACTTATTCAGATGTGCTGTTCTATCTAGAAGGTCTGAATATTAACAGATTTATAAATATCAAGTACTTGCCAACTTTACTTAGCAATATGATTAGCATTATTGCATTATTTGTAAATGAGGCTGCCTAACCTTCCACTGGGAGTGCAATAATATACACTACCATGAGAAAATTACAACAGATTCTGATGCAAAGCCAAGAGTTTATGAAATACAGCACACACTTGTCTTTTGGCTGAATATAAATCAAACAACTGGAATGCCCCCAAATATGTACAAGAAAACATTTTACTGGGCCATCTCCCGGGACCCTGCTTTAGGATATCCTCCAATATACTCACATCAAGTTCTACTGTGCTTCTAGCCAGTGAATTTTGCCTCCAAAAAAGTTAATGATTTAGTAAGAGAATTATCAGAATTAAATGTAGTTCAATGAACACAGCAGAGCTTTGAAAACTTTTTGCTATTCACTGGTCATAAGCCACACCACAAACCTTCTCATTTTGCTACATGCCATATTTGTCAAGCCTACAGTAATATCTCATTTCAGCATTTATAGTAACGACTGTAATTGAGTGCATTATTCACTGTTGTAGTCAATACTCTTTCTTAGGAAATAAAAAAAGCCATTCATTCCTAAATGCAAACCTGATGAAATAACTTTAAATAGTTCAGTATGTCAATGAAGAATTCACTGTTCCTTTCATTGGTGTCATTGATTCTGCTTATTCCTTGAATGGTTCTATTCATGTGGAGAGAGGGAGAGAGACCACTTTTGAGTTCATTCTTTTGTTGGAAATCTGAATCCTGAACTGAAGATTAAAATGTCTCCATTCTCTGCTAAACACTATGACAGAAGAACGTCACAGGGAAAGTTATGGCTACTAGCTAGGAAACTACAGCATAAAGTACAATATGAGCACACATTTTAAAAAAGCTAAGGTTTTCTCAACCACTTAGAACAGGCAAAAAAAATAGAAAAAAATTTCCATTGATCATAGCACTAATTAAACCCCATACTCTCTTACACATATATAAAACAAAGTCAACTGTTAAAATGGAAATATAAAAGTACTTGGCGTCCATGATGTTCAAAACTAAATGCAAGACCAACCTTTTCCAATATGGCTTTTTCTACAAAAATCTCCCAGCCCAAAGTCATTACACAGCTATTAGTAGGGAAAAGGAGACTGAAAGCCAAGGACAAAAACACGGTGTCCTGATGAAGCACTGAACAGCATTAAAAGATAAAAATCAACAAAATCACTAGAGATCTTGAAAAGCTGCACCACTGCTCCACTTTCTCAAAGAGTATTTCCATTCTTTGCTATAAAGAGCTGTCTGAAAAGCTTGAAATAAAACTACTTTCATATTGGACACAACTCCATTATTTTCCTGTGCTCATTTGGATTTTTATTTGAGGATTTTCTTTGCAATACAGAGAATAACGGATTGGAGGAAAAAGACTGAAAGGAGAAAAAAAAAAAGAATAGGAAAGCTTAAAAACTAGAATTAGCAACCTGATAAATTACTGGAAGAAAATAAAATGCAACTGTAAATAAAACTATGCTACAAAACCTATGCAAAATACTAGACACACTTACACTGCTTTATGTTATTGCAGTAGTTCACAGTGTTACACAATACTTTAGATATACACAGCTTTAAACACTTCCCAAAACACATCAAACCTATTTTCTTTTTTTTTTTACAAGTACAGTTTCTACTGCATATAACATTCTTTTATGTTTAATATCTTTTTAAAAGAATAATCTTGCTTACATAGCTCTAACACATCAGTTATGTGAAATCTCGCATCCTTCCAGCTTGACTTACCTACCTCACCGAGAAGCTATGAGGATTAAATGCTTGGACTGTGCTTTGAAGCGATAAGCAGTTAGTATTGCAACTCAGTTTTTTGGCACCAGAGCACCCTTATATTTCTCACATCCACGTCTCGCCCGCATGCTCTAATAATCACCTTTCTTCCCTTTCCTGCTTTCTGCGCGTTCTGGCTGCTGCAAGACCCCATGAGACCTCGAAGACCTTGTTTCCACAACTCCACCACAACATTTGCACAGATAAGACCAAAAGAGCAGCATTGAAGTGGCAGCTTTTGCAATCCGTAACACTGATGAATGGCAGGCACAGACAACTGAGCTCATACAGCACAAGCTCTCTCAATCACACGACATGGAAAATTCAAGCATGGTTAACAATTCTGTCACAGAAAACCCCAGCCACGTCCCTAAGGCAAAAACTACCACCCAAAAATGGATTTAAAATGACGTACATGAAGCTGATAACCTTCTAAATCAGAGGGAGAAAAGGCAGATTTCACAGCTATGCTTGGGCATGATCCTGTAGCACAGTCCCATTTTATGGCAGTAGTGTGGCACTCAACTGAAGTATTACGTACTTCAGCAAAACGGTGATCAATGTCTAATTTTCCTGGATCAGGAGAATCTGAGAGATGAACCCCTTAGAACAGGCCCTTGAGAGGGGCAATGTAAAGCACCCCACAAGTATACCATATCTCAAGGGTCCTCAAAAACTTTTATGAACTACAGTAAACACAAACTCTTGACCCAACTTCAAAAGTGTGGCCTCAAAAGGAGTGCTTATTTTCCATCACTTCTCAAACACTTAAATGAAAAATGAGGTCATCCAAATACTCATACTATGGAGAAATTTGCCCATTTCTTTACCTGCTTTTAGAACAGCTGCTCAATCTCAAGGCAGTTGTCCTGTCAGTGGAGATAACCTAATTTTATTTTGGACACAAAGTATTAAATTCTCAAGGGATTTCAAGTAAAAATAAAACTCAAAAGTTACACCTGCTCTGTCTTCAGGGAATAACCTGCAATAATATGCCCACTTTTTCAGTAACAGGTTACTAAATTACTTCTACATGAAAAACGCTTCATGCTTGATCACGAGTCTGGTTCACATTACACACTGCTGTAGACTTGCACCATTTTATGGAGGACAAGACCTTGTAGCACTAGTCATTCTCTACTAACCTGCATTCCCGAGCCAGGCAAAACGTAAGCATAAACCAAATGTGCTCTGTCTTCTCAGCAACACCTAGTGCAAGGTGCAGCTAATAAAGCACACTGAGACTAGAAGGTATGTGACTTGTGTTATGAACTTCAGATGGAGCTCTGTGAATCCGTAAAAATAAAGAACACATTTACAAGGGAGTGACGAACAGAGGAAAGCAGTGAAAGCAGTCTCCTCTACGTGAAGCACCTTTCCTTAGCCTACCCCAGCCCTTCTCCCAGAAGGGGAGATTAGCAGAGCCTCTCCTACCACCTTCTGAACTTCCTCTGAACTGCCCTTTGATTTTTGTCCTCAGCCTGACGAATGTACCCACAGGTGCTGCCCGCACCTGCACAAATCCTTCCCTAGGAAAAACAGCAATAAATAATCGTGAGGCTTACAGGGCCTCAGCACATACCCGTATGGTGGAAGATAGCCACAACATAAAAATAGCAAGCAGTCCCAGAGCGCCAGCCTCAAATCACGCTTGGTTGTCAAGAGAGCCTTTAACACAGATTTTGATGCTTGCTCCTTAACTCAGGCTACATCCTTTCAGCTACCAGTTGCCAAAGCTTTATTTGGAGCTGTTCTGTTTTTCCTTAGTATGGGCTTAATTTTGCTATCAGCGCAGACTGATGGTAAGACTTCTAGCACAGGGAAGTCCCATGTCTGCAGCTTACGTATCAAGACAGAACAAAAACTCAACTCGCAGGTTAAACTGCTTTCACTTCAGTGAATGGCTTTGCTGTTTGTCTTCTATACATGTAAAAATCATTACATATTTAATAATTATTAAAAATAATTATTTTACATTTATATTGCTATCAGAAGCACTTAGTATTTGTCAAGAAAATCCAGATGCCAGCTAGTCTAATTTAGGTTTTAAGCACAGCAGTAAAGTCTTACTTCTCCAAAACAAAGTGCACCCTACAGCACAGCCTCTCATTCTTTAAGCAAAAAGAATAAAATGAGCAGCTTAAAAAAAAAAAAGTAGGGGTATTTGCCACACTGTGGAAAACATGAAAACAAAACAATTATCCAAATCACTGCAGACAGAATTAAGAACAGCACTCTAGAGCCAGTGCTCTTATTTACTATATAAATATATATATTATTACAAGTTGGTCATTTCCAATACCCCCCCAATGTAATATATTATCAACAGTTTATTAATAAACAGCTAGCAGCCAAAACACTGGGAATCTTATTACATCAGTTTAGTGCACCAAGAAAGTTGCACCTAAGCAAGATGAAAAAAAAACCTAATTCCAAGAGTAGGTATGATGGTCACCAGTTTCCCTTTTTTTTTTTTTTTTTTTTTTTACTTAAACTACTTTAAAAGCCAACTATGGCTATCTTGTTTTCCAAAGTATGTATTAGCTTGAGTCTCCATGATTCTGTCAATAGGTTATCCAGGGAACAATTATAAAAACCACACAAGCCAAAGGTGCTATTTCCAAACTGTATGGCCTTTTATAACTTAACTACCGTTTTAGGCAAAATCAAATATTTATTTCCTATTATTTTCACTCTGAAGTACACTATTGCCCCCCAAAATGGTCTGCATTACTCTTACAAAGTAAAATACGCAACCACAAGATTCAATTAATTTTGGACACAGTCAAACTAAAGTTTTAGTTAAGTCCAAATTAAACAGCTGCAACTCTTACTTTTCATCATATTAAGATCTATCAGGGAAATAATAATATAAGATGAAATATGAGGCATATATTTACTACTGATTAAAAAAAAAAACAAAACCCAAACCAACCCAAATCTAAAGGACTGATGTTCAAGAGAGCTGCCAATTTATTTTGATTAAAAATTCAACACAGATCTAGATTAAACTTAAGAGCAGTCTTCTGCCTAGTGAAGGAACTAAATCCTCTCTTTGCTGCATTCACTTCAGTTTACTTGTATTGAAAAACACAGGTTTTAACATGCAAACAACTGTTGAGAAGACGTATTTGCTAGAACACACTAGGGCAGCTTTGAAAAAAATTACTATAAAGAGATACAGTGAAAAACAAAAATAAAACCAAAGACTATCTGATATTTTGTTGCTGGAGGTACCACAGTAAGATCATTACTTCCTGCTGTTTAAAGGAAGGTGTGCCTGCACAGGTACTTCCCACTGTGACTAGGAGGTGTGGGATACAATGGCCAAAGAATTGCAGCCCTCCCTTTACCGTGGAATTACAGCTACTGACAGGCACCACGCAAGCCAGGGGTAGGAGCTGGAAGCTGCTTCATTGTTTTTATTTAGGGGACTGACTATACGCAAAACTGCTCCGTTCCTCCAGGTGGTTGGTGTCAATTCATGCCACAACCGCAAAAGATGAAAGCATAAAATGATGCTTTATGATCCCTGCTAAAAACCGACAAATAGAATGAAAACCAGTGACAGCTGCTTCAAAGAAAAGGGAAAGAAAACTTGTGTTTTGCTTTTAGACCAGCAGGGAGCAGTGGTTAACAAAAACAGTAAGATGCTTTATCGTAAATAAAGGATTCTCAAAATGGTTACACCACCACATTTAAAGACAGAGTTTGGTATGTTTCTTACATGCATCTACTAAAGAGGTCTGAGTACTAGGTTAAGAATTCCTGGGGGTGTGCTAAACGCTGGCTCTGGCTATACTGCTTTTGCTGTGAAATCCATCAATCATCGTAAGGGAGAGGTTCCCGAAGTTAGTAACCGAGTTGATTTATAAGCATAAATACAAAGGAGGCAAATTCTTTCAAAATGTTCAATCTCTTGTTCACCAAAAAAGACAAAAATATTCTTAATCATTTTAACACAGCAGAATTTAATTAATTCATAGAGATAGGGGAAGACTGCATATTTGGGGGATGGGGAGAAAAGGGAAATTAACAACTAGCAAAGCAAATAAAAACGAGCATAATTTATTACATAAATGCCTATTATTCACTTACTTTAGACTATAATTTTGCATCATGCTTAAGAATCCGTATGTGTGATATTCTATTAAACTAGTAATGATCTTGTTTATATGAGAATTCACTAAAACCCCTATCTAGTTTTGGCACTAAGGCTCTGACAAGACTGCCAAATTTTTTTGTGCAGATAAGAGCATTTAGTTAAATGGTGTTCTACGGCATGTAACAGCTCACATGGAGGAAAAAGGATTACTTACCACATTGTAATAGCTTTTGTTAATTGCAGACGTATCAAAGCCTTTAGGTGGACTCTTCAATGTACCTGATTTGGGGGAGACGGGTTTTTCTGTAATGTAAGATATTTTGGGGTCAATGGCATGCAATTTCATAGCTCAACACTAGAGGTCAAACAAACCGCTTTAAAATATTTATAAGTACAGTGAAAATAGTGCTTCACTGAGAAACATACATACTTGTGCTTGAAATTATTGGTAAAGAATCAAAACGGTTCACATGTTCACAATGAATAAAACTCTAGCCTTAATGAAGGCAAGTAGAAAAACTCCCATTTTTTTTCCCTGGAACCAGAAAGTCAGTTAATAAAATTAGCTTTTCCAAAATTGTTTTTTAAAAACAAAAATTATCACAAACCCCAATTAAAAAAACCAAAACAACCAACAGGCATTTCTAAACACTACACACGCTTTCAAACAGAAGTAGTATTAAGTTTTAATATCAATTTATTGAACTTGGTAAAAGCAAGTCACCAGTCAAAGGCTGAACGTACCAGAGATGGGACATTACACTCAGTCTGGTTGAAACAGAGAATCGAAACGCTATGTAAGTAGCGGAGTGACTTACCAGATGCCTATCCTGGAAAACCACCTTTTTAAAACAAATTATCTTTTACTTTTAATGAATGAAAAAATAAAAATGCTTATGCAGTTGAGAACAGAGTCCATCACAACAATAAATGCAATCCTTCCTATAATCCCATAGTGAGTGTACCCCTCAGTAATGCACGCTCTTCATGCAAGGACAACATAAGTCTGCAAGACCAGAACAACAGTCCCGAGAGTTATCCAAGTGCTGACTCCCAGACTGCAGAGGCACAGAAAACACGCTCCTAAAGCCTCCCCTCCCACGTCTACCATTCCTCTAAATCAGACACAGAGGAACAAAGATGAGGGGAGAGACAATGAAAAGCATCATGCTGCATGCTGGAGAAACAGCAAGTAAGATTTACAGCATCTCTTTTTGATCTCTCACACCTGACTTTATACACAACCAACTGAAAAAGCTTGTGAGACTGTATTTATCGGAACGTAATGGTGGTTTGGTTTGTTTTTTTAAATAAGCAGGCTTGTCCAACATGCAAATTTCAAATAAGCATTCAAGTAATTTGTATCCAAACAATAAAGTGGCATATTTTAAGAAAAAAAAAAAAAACACCAACAAAAAAACCTCCACCAAACCAATCCAAAAGAGCATGGTATCATCAAAACATACCTACTGAAAGTTTTACCTTTATTTTAAAAGCAAGCTCCCATTTCAAACACATTTTAATAAAGATATATGAATAATTCAACTCTAGTCTACCTGATACCTCAGGCCACTAAGAATAAATTATGCAAGTCTCAAATACAGACCTGCCTTTCCAGGAGAAGCCCAGCCAGCCAAGGTGAGGGCCAGCTATGGGAAATTCCCACGGACACTACGGCTGACCAGGGAAACACCACCATAAGCAGAACAGCCCATGCGGTACCAGCCCGTGCTGGACTGGGTCCTGGGTAACCTACTGCTTCTCCAGGCTGCCCACTGCAGCCCCAGGGAGGTTGCGGACTACAGATGCCGGCCACCCCTTCATCTCCAGTGCCAGGAGCGACTGGCAGGACCCGAGGCTTTATAGCTAACAGCCCGTAAGGAGCAAGCCCCAAGAGCACACAAGTGGTATTATCTTTAAGGGGATTTTCTCTGTATTGCACTGCAACTCCCCTCAAAGAAGCTACTCTAAAAATAAAATACGGTCTTAAAACTGCCAAACATGGGCAAAAGCATTTCTCCTTACCATGTTCAGAGATAACAGTAAAAATCCTTTTGGTTAATATCCCCCCACCCCCCGCCCCAAGTCAGCTATAAGCCGACAGACAGCACAAAACCCGTTAGCCCGAGCAGTTCTTCAGCTGGGAACTGCGATGCTCTCAGCCGCCAGCCCTGCAGTATGTACGTGCTTTGCTGTACAGCCAAGTAATTCCAAGTGACAGGACTCCTCCCATCCCCTTAGAACAAAACCATAAACCCAAGCAGATTTGTCATCAAACACTCAGTGTGAAAGAAGCACCTAAAGCCATGTCATACGTACAGCTACTCATTTATATATTCATATATAATGCTACACATTTACGAGACAATTACAATTTGTTTCTTTGTACTGAGTGATGAAAATGATGTAGTTTACACAAACTTGGTAATTTGCTTTCATTCTCTGTGGAAGCTCCTGACTTACCCTACAATTTACAGTGACTTTCAGGTTTACTAAAGACCTAAAGGTTTTTTAATCATGTGCCAAAAAAGCATGAAAGGAGAAACCAGAGTTATTTAAGGAAAAAGGTAAATGCTTGTCACTGAATTTTATCATAATACAGAAGTCTGACCCTTGTTAATCTGGAGAAAGTTGGCTGGTCATAGAAATCTGGCTCTTCTTCCAGCTACTTTGTTATCTTAAAGTGTGTAAAAATACATCTCTTCCCCTAACTTTTTCTTCTAAACTGCTGAAGAAAGTGGGAGATTTTTTGCTGAAATATATGGAGTCATTTGTATCACCAACTGTTCAGTTGATTCAGTTATCCATCAGAGAGACATGATCAAATTCAGATTTAAAAAGAATCACACATTTAGATCATTTTGCCTTAACAGCTGTAATCAACAGTCAGCTTTTAAAATGCAAAGGCCATTTCTGTTGTAGAAACACAGAATTAGACAGAGCGAATCAGTCCAGCTGTCTATCACGTCTGGTATTCTGCCTCCAAGCACTGCCTTGCTTCATAAGGAGGAGAGTCTCATTGCAATGAGTTTATTGCACAATGCATTACACAGAAGAAAATCCTGAACTTGCAGGAAATCACTTTCTTAGCATAAACAAAGATAAGCGTTACTTATCGTCCTTCATGACAGAACATTAGACTACTTTTGCAAACATACAGCATACTTCATTAAACATTTCAAGCAGGTGTCACATCCATTCAGCATACTGGGAACACATACAGGTCTTATAGGTCTATAGGTCTATGAAGTCCATAGGTTTCTGAAACATTACCAAAACCCTGGCACCTTGCCCACTCCAACATATAAGCTCTTTCTCAAAACACTGGAAGGGAGCGACCTGAGCCAGACACCAAGCTTTCCCATACAGAAGATTCTTCCCTTCTCTGTACTTCTCTCCCACTCACAATGTGAATCCATTACACTAACATTGAAAACACAACAAAAACATGCACAGCATACAATCAAATCCAAAGCAAACACGCATCTGCTCAAGTACTGCAAGAGACCTTATCTAGCTGATGACTGAAACCAAGAGGTAAGTTACCACTATCAGTTTCTTTCCTGATTAAAGCATTACATTCAACTGCACTCAGCTACACTTGATAATGCTTTGAAGTAGCTAGTGGCTAGTGATAAACCAGACAGAATTCACTTAACAGATCATCTTTGGGTGGAAAGTGAGGTTGGCACAGGCTTAACATTATTCTTCCAGCAAATAATTATTCTCAGTAGAACAAAAACAACTTAGAGCGGCTGCTTCTTTAACCTTTCCCTAAGTAGTACATAAGATGCCATGAACTCTCTAAAATGAACTTACCTTATCCTTTACAAACATCTACCTAAGTGACTGTAAAAAGACAATTTACCCAATCCTTCCCAATGTTTTGTTTCATTCTATTTTCATTTACATGTAAGTATTTCTTTTACTTGCCTTCAAATTACTTGTGATTCTCATATTCTCTCCTATCTCTCTTCTGCCATGGCTCCAGTTTATATCATACTCATTTTCATTTAACAGTCCACTTCACACTACTCCACAAAGCAGTCCTTCAGGACATACTTTACTAAAGCATTTCAACCCTACTGCTGCACAAACATCACCGTGTGTTTCTGCCATTACTCGGCTATGGTGAGTAATCTAGATGCAAAGATCCTATTTGGGCTATTTCATCCTACAATATGGGAGGAAAGATGTGCCAACTGAGACACCAAAAGCTGCGTGGTCCCCATCAGTGAAATGCTACAAGCAAGCTCTGTCTCTCTAGACTAATCAGTTCAAGTCCAACACCACGAGGGCAGACCTAAATTCGTTCCCAGTTCCCAAGCTGGCTCAGGCATCGCTGCAACACGCTCCACCCTGCAGTGTGGACACTACCAACGCCTCTTCCCTACTAGTATTCACTGGCCCCAACCTCTATTCTATTTATGCCTGTAGAATAACACTTGACAAGAGAACAAAATACTCCTCCAAGCGTATGTGGTTGGGGAGAGGAAAACTAGCATTCTTGATGGGCTTTTCTTTTTTTTCTTTTTTCCTTTTCTTCTTTTTTTTTTTTTTGCAAAGGTAAAAGTGTCCTTCCCCCATGCACCACAGGATAGGAACAACAGATACTCTACTCTTTCACTATACTCTGGGCTTTTCCCACACTGATTTTTTTTTTTTTTTTTTTTTGACATCCAACCAGGAGAACCACTAACACTGTAATTTGCACTGGACCTGATACTAACCTAACTGTCAAGAAAGCAACAGAAGAGAGGCTAGGACAGTAATGACACATTAATTTCTGTGAAGAATTAGAAAAAAGTTTGTGACCTATCAAATGTAATGTTTTAAAGCTATATTCCCTTCTGCTAATCTCATGCCATTTAAATGGATTATACTTTGATAAAACCCAGCAAATAACCATGTGATTTTTAAAAAAAATCCGATCAACATCTTACAGTAGCTAAGCGAGCGCTTCCCATTCCAGCTAACCGCTATTCTTTTCACTACAAGAGAACTCACAAAACTGTCTTCAGATCTCTCTACTGTGCGAGACAGAAGCAGCAGTGTTAGAGACAAGACTCCACCTACACCTTCACCCCTCCCTGCTCCGTTTTATGTAAGAAAAAAAAAAACAAACCCAAACCTCAGTAAGGCCACACTGTCAAATATCTAACAAGCTTACACAGTATAAATCTTTTACCCTCTGTCATGTGTAACAGTACAGCAGGATAAAAATAAAGTCCTCTCATTTCAAAGTACTTCCTGACTAGTGATCAAAGAACATTAAAAAAAGGCAAGATGTTACAGGGTCTAAAAAGGGAAATGAAAACATGTGCACAGGGAGGGAAGGAGAGAGAAATGGACCATCTTTTTGATCCTTACAGTGTAGGCGCATACCTGAAAAGAAACTACTACTTCATTTTTAAATTCTATTTATAGCTTTGATCATAAGTACCACAATTTCAAACAAATCCTCCTTTTCCCCTTGGGTCAGGGGGGTGGGGGAGGAAAGAATAAACACAGACTCAAAAGCAAAATAGAAACCATTTTCCATCTCAACCAAATTTATTTCCCGAAAAACAGTCATTGTCCAACCTAAGAAAACTAAATGCTGTGGTTTGCTCAATAATCCCAGTGTCTGTCCTACAACCATTCACAGCTTGCCTCATTCATGTATTAGCATTCTGTGCTAACACTAATCATTCTGGCACAGCTACACAAACAAGTTACAACGTAGTAAACATGGGCACAGCTTTGTGATGTTTTAGTTACTCTAAGATACAAGCAAAGCATGTTATGTGATATGAATATATGTAACGTAGTTTACTTTTCTCCTAAAATCTTTAAGAAAGCCATGTGGGTAAAGGCAGTTCCCATCACTAAGCAGCTCTTCCTTCCTTTCCTTGAATATCTAACTTCGGAGCAACCGTACAAGCTAAGACTACAAATGTACAGTTATCTGACATTAGAGGATTTTAATTTAGAACAAAAATCCATTTATCTAAACTTCTAATGCCTAGGAATTTTGTGGGAATTAAAACAAAAACACACATGCATAAAGAACTTCTTTCCTTTCTTCTGTTACCCAGTTTGCCAAAGTCAGGTTCCAGCAGACTGAAGGGATTTATTTAATCAAACCCACTATTTCCCAGGAGCTCTCCAAATAATGTACCATCAAAAATTATAACGAACAGTGTTGCCTGTACAGAATTTCTAAGTAGTTGCAATGTTTTCAGCCAGATTTGAGAGAAGAAAGAAGGGTGGAGTCATACTATTGATGCCAGAACATTTTACAGAATATTTTGAAAACTGATTAGATGTCCAGGATGAACATTTTTTTCATAAAGAGACCTTAATCAAGAGCAAGTATTTCAACAATCCTATCCTGAACTTTTAAAATCAATTTGTTGTAATGCTGACAGAAAACACATTTTGAATTTGAGCTTGCAAGACAGCAAGTTCTACTAACTCATTTTAAAATACATCGGGGAAAAAAAGCACTTCTGTGTTTCATCCTCATGCTTAAAGCATGAAGGCACTTAAAATATTTCTGAATGAGGAAAATCTTCAAGTGAGGTATATATAGTTGCCAGGAAGTCAAGCAAAATGGACAGTAAAAGACTATCAACTCAAGAAACATCAACTAGTCTAATGAAGACTAGCAAAAAAGAGCAGGGGCACGGGAGTGCAATAGAGACTGTCAACCATACATACAACCTAGATGAAACTTCTCATGAACACCCAACAGAGCCATTCATGTAACTTCAGAGCTTTGTGGTAAACAGCACTACATTCTTGTTTCAACAAGGACAGCAGAACAAAGGAAGTCCAGCCTCGGGACACAGTGGCAACACACTCTGATACAGAAGGGAGGAGAATTACAGAAAAGTCCTCTCTTTAGCACCTTCAAGAACACCACAAAGCAGAAATCAGTTGATAATAGAAATTTCATTGAAACAACCAAGAAGAGGGGAAGGGAGGGGGGGGGGGAAGCAGCAAAATGAGAACAATGAACTTCAAGTAAGAAAAATTCAGTAAACTTAAAAATACGGGTAAAAAAAGGATTCCCACTAGTGACAACGTAAGGGGAAATGGCTCACAAGAATCACAAGTCCTTTAAAAATTCGGAGTGTCTCAAAGGAAGAACAGGAAAAGTAGATGCAAATTGACATAATCAAATATCACAAATACTACAGTGACCTCAAACACACAAAAAGAAGCAAAAGTAGCCAGAAGTCAGGTCACCAGTTGAAATAAAACATGGACATAGGGGCAGTAGCAACAAAACATTCCATAGCATATATACATCAAGGGGGAAAGCTGATTTGCAACTCAGTAGAGAAGAAGAGTTATTAACCAGCATCAAGAAGCTCTTAGTATGTCATGCTTCCTTCTACCATCCCCCCCATCCTCATTATAAAAAGGTCAGCTTCAGACAATTCAAACACATACCTACAAAGGCATAAAACCGGGTTAAAACTAGTACTTTGATAAATTAAACAGTACCTGCTGTGCTGATTTGGCAGTAAGAGAACTAGCTACATCCATGTTTGAAACCGCAGAGGACAAGTGAAGTTCCATAAAGTACTGGAAAAGGCCAAAGATAGTAATTGTCTTTAAAGGGGAGGAGACTAGACAAAGCTAGAGAGCTACAGATCAGTCATTTTAACTTTGCAATCGTTAGTAAATGCACAGAAAACAAAGCAATGAAGTCAACTTCCTGAGAAAGAAAAGCACGGGCACATATTCCCTTCCATAGAAGCAAGATTGCGTATGAGAGCGCACTCCAAGAACGCATGAAGTCTCGCAGAAGCCAGAAGGAGCAAGCCCTTGTAGCACAGGGAACATGCCTATACAGCAGAGGGAAAAGAATAGTTTAGCAGAAAACTTTTCTGATGGTGAGAAGTGAAAGTTAAACCAGGGACTGGATGCAGTTCCTATCAGCCCCCCCAGGAATTGGACAGGGTTGCAAGAACTGGCAAGAATCAAACTGCACTTGGTACTAACCTCAGCCCCACAGCTTGTTGGCTTTCCTGTTTAGGAGAGTTACTTTACCCAAGTGAAGTATTCTTAAAAAAACAAGAACAACCCTAATTTCAGTTGCTGGCAACTTTTGGTTCTCATATGTTGACTGTTAAAAGCTACTTCCATTCTAGAGCGTAACTGCTGACCCAGGTTCCAGTCTCAGGAGTCAGAAGATATCAAAACTGATGAAATCCAAAAAAGACCTCTGCAGAAATGTTTTAAATGAATAACAATGGGACAAGGGAGTCATCATGGCTGAAAGAGACTGCTACAACACTACAAACAAGAAGAAAACAGGCTTCAGGAATTGTTTTTCGGGATAAGCCACATCTGAGAGATCTCTGAAGAACATTAAAGCTAAGTCTCACATCGTGACTATGCCTAAGGGGATCTAGTTAAAAATGACAACTAAGTTACAGATCTAAGACTCTTAGCATTCCGCAAAACCAGACTGTAGATAGCCAATCAAGGAAGAAAATAAGAGGATGCAACTGGAGGAGAAAGACTAAGTTTAAAAATTGAGTTTTACCCTCACAACTTCCCTTTGCAGTAACACATTTTTATGGCTGCCTAAAAAAAAAAAAAAAAAAAAAAGGTCATGCCAATGATTTCAATTATTTTAGAATGGCCCAAAGATGTGTGTTTTCATTGGAGCTGTAACAAGGGAAAGAGTTCTAAAGCCTCTCAGAGAGTCCCTGGGTAGTTTTATCCTACCAGGTTTATCCCTGATCTCTGAAAGTAAGTATAGACTGGAAAGAGACCCAAAAAGGGGGGGGGGGGGGAGATGATGTCACCCATGTCAAGGTCCTAGTGGATTACAAAGCAGTGTTAGTTCTGATATTCAGTCATGAAGATGACATTTACAGAAGGCATGTTCACTGTATGAAGTTCAAAATAAAACTTCAGTGGAAGAGTAAAGCTTCTATAAAGAAAAGTTGAAGGCACATGAAGAAATAATAAAAATCACAAACACATTACCTTTCAAAAACTGTCTCTAACTTTTAATAGATTTCAGTAGAATTGGTGATTTTTCCTGCGGTTCTTTGTTTCTAAGTAATGGGACATGTTTAGAGATTTTTTTTTTTGTGTAGTTTTTGGTTGGTTTGGGGGGATTTGGTTTGGTTTGGTTTTTAGTTTTGTTGTTTTTAAAAGAGATTTGCAGGAAATCTCTCACTATTTAAACCCAAAGCACCAACTCAAAGTATGTCAGCATCAGAGCCAAAATCCAGCATTCCAGGAATTCAGAGCTGCCTAACTGTGACAGAGAGACAGACAGACAAGAAAACAGAATGGGGGATTTTTCTGCACGCTTACTGTTAATTCAAAAGTGCTAGAGCACTCTGTATAGAGAACCAGGGTGGGGGAGTATGAGTTCCTGAGCATTAATGATTGCTGTGAATGAAGTTCAGTAAATACAGTCAAACAAAAAGCATTACAATTTTTAATGAATCAACCAACTATCAACCTCTACCCAAAGCAAGAATTTGTGCAAATATGCTCTCCTTCAAAACTCACCATTTGATTTTATTTCTCGTACGTAGTTACTTGGAAACCACCCTGTTTTGCCATTTAGAGTTCCTTCCCACCAGCCTCCTTCTTCCACTCTTGTAACATGAATAATATCTCCTTTTGAAAAAGAAAGTTCATCTTCATTTGTCTGTTGAAAATTAAATTTTGCTCTCACCACCAACTGATGGTTGCTGTTATCTGTCATGTCCTAGTAAGTGAGAATACAAACAACAAAAAGATCATGTTAGAGATTTAAACAATTATTCCATGAACAAAACAGAAGTATCCATAAAATGGGAATGGCCTCTCCACACACAACACTCCCCACACGTTTTTACTCTAAGCGTTTGTAAGGTAGGATTTGCCATTTCCAGTATTTCTGACACTTATAATCTATGGATTTGTATCAGTCCAGGGAGTATATCGTCTTATTCAAATCAGAAGGTGGTAACAGAGCTAAAATAAAAGTAATTCTTATTTCCTCAAAAAATCAAATTCTATCTTCTATATATAGTATAAATTGAAACTGCCTTTGGCAACTACAAAGAAACAACAGCTTTACATTAGGGAGGTTCTTTTCTAAAACTTTCCGGGCTGGGAGGAGGGCAAAACTGAGTTGGGTTTAACGTAATTCTGGATATAAATAGAGTTCGCAGCTTCCCCACCACCACCACCCCATAACAGGTCAGGTTGGAAGGTTCCACACCTGAATGTGCAAGTTTCCATGACCTGCCAATGGAGAAATACAATGTTCTTCCACAAAACCTACAAAACAGTTATGCAATTTACCTTGAATAAGTACTCACAAATCATTTGCCTCAAGATTAGCAAAGCTGCAAGTCTGCAGCATGTCAAACTTGCAGCTGCCCATATATATATGTATATCACACAGATGTGACGGCAGATTATTGCTCTATCATAACACCTAAATGTTAGCAGCTACTTCTAAGAAGTCTTTCAAATTAATGATGTTCAAATACAGCATTTTGTTCTTGGATGTCAGTTTTGAAATGCTTGAATGATGCAGATACTCATGAGTGTTAGGACAAACTTTTATGCTAAAAAAAGCTAAATGCTTGGACAGCTTTAAATAATCCAAATACAATCCATTGCACTGGAACTGAGAGGACTATAAATCATGTCTGTCTCTATCATAAGTACAGATCAATACCTGTATAACTAAAAGTAACTTAGTAAGGAAATGACTGTGTAAGCAATCCTAGTCAACTATCCAGATAGCAGAATTTCACCTACATGTTGTCTATATAGTTGAGATGATTAAAAGATGTACTGCATAATGTCACTAGGATCCTGTAACACACCAGCTTAATTCGTATCCACAGCAATCATGTTATTGTGAATTTAATAATCAGACTTTTAGTGGCTGAGAAACTCTAGGAAAATGAGGGCAAATGCAACTTTGAAAACGTGCAGAAAGCCCCAAGATACTGTAAGTCACGCTGTTCGACAATTAGATCGGCCTATTTTCCAACAAGTGCCTCTGCCTTAGTCCTCTGCTTGTACATCATGTGCTTTCATCTTCTATGACTGCTCAACAAGAGAAAAAGTTTTGCCTTACTAAATGGTAAAAAGCCACAAAATAAACAGCAACATTGCACACTGACATCAACTACAGTCCCTTTACTCTGCCAGGATGGCTCTCGAGTAGAGGAAACCAAGTACAAATTTGGTGAGAACAGTGAGAACAGTTCCAAACTGATCATCTACAGCAGTAAAACTAAACTAAAAGCTTCCCAGGTTTGGCCACTAGCTCTCTTTCTCTGCTTCTTGTACTTCTCTGCCCCTTTGCAGCTTTCTGCAGAGCTGCTCAGATCACCAAAGTGAGAAATACTTAAAACTCTGATTACTTCAGTGATCCAGCTAGCAGCTAGTCCCACAAACAGTTGCATCAGCAAAACTGAGTGGGTTGAGAACAGCAGAGTGGGAGCTGGAACTAGTGGCCTAGGGCAAGAACTTGCACAGGCTCTGCTACCAGAGAAAACACATCAAACCACACCTAAGAAAGCTTAAGCAGAGCACTGTTTCAAGTTTCACATAGCAATCATCACATAGTTCAAAACAGCCTCCTTCAAGCATGGAAAAAGCAGTTTACAGTAGGGATCTGAACCCTCCTTGCAAACCTTTTAGTCACTAAAAGCACCTTTCTTCACGGTTAGTTTCAATACAGTACTCCATCCTGATTTGGGTTGTACTGTAAAATAACTGCCCATACCACTCAGTTACCTGAAGGCTAGTTGAAGGATTCACCTTGAAACATAACAGAAAACAGGAATAACTACCAATACTGCTAACATTAAAAGTACCACCTTTGCTGAGGTTTGAGTATCTTTCAATCATTGTCCCTAAACTCAAGACATGGAGAAAATGAGATTTTTGCCTTTGGAAAAGCAAGTCCTTATACCTAATAGAATTAAATAAATCCAGGAACATACTGTGTATGCAGACAACATGGAGTGGTAAGTGAGGAAAAAAATACTTAGAAGTTCACAGAAAGCTGCATGTATTTTGAAGCATCGTAAGATAAGCTGCAAAAATAGAATGTCACAGGCTTCAAATACAGAGGTGAAAAAGAGCAGTTACTTTGCTACACTATTGTTTACTTATAAATCTCGTCGAAAGAAAAAAAAACATAAAAAAACATAAAAATCACACCACAGCATGTTTCATTTCTTCTAGAACTTACCAAACTCCGATACTGTCCCTGAAAGAGTTTTGAAGTCCTACTGTGTAAAGACTGGGATCCCAGAGAATCAAAAGATTTTATCCGATGAGATGAGGGACGTGCGCATACAGAGTCACTGCCCAGCCCTATGTCTATAGGAAGGGGGGGAAAAAAAAAAGTATATATTAGAATTTGAGAAATCTGCATATAACTTCTGCTTACCTCTGTAAAACTCACATGCTTAAAGCAGATTCGATGTATCTGCAGTTGCTCAATAATTAAACATTAAAAAAAAAAAAATTATAGCAATAAATAATCTGAAATCCTGAGATACTGGCAGTTTCTTCTCCACACAGACAGGAAAACAGTTTGAGCTGTTTAGGAAGAGGAGGGTTAGGGTAGTATTTCTCCATTCCTACTCGCTACCAGTCTATTTAAAGGTAATTAACCAGCATCATTCTAGCTAGTGGCCAAGAATTTCAAATGCATAGAACTTGCTTGAAGTAAAGCCAGCCACATCTGTTTCTTAGCTCTTCCCTCCGCCATCTCCTTCTCAATTAAAACATTCCTTCCACTGTCTTTTTTCCTGCGTTCCTTTGTCTCATCCCTTTTTTGCCAGCTAAGCTATTTCTTCTTCTTTGGAGGGAGGGGGAGGGATAGGAGGAGTAGAAAGGAAGAAAGCTGCTTGTTCAGAAAAAACCCACCACTCTCCCAAAACCTCTCCCCTCTTTCATATGTCTCTACTCCGAGAAGCACACCCCTTTGAGCTCTTCATCCCAAGGGCGGCCGTCGGGGTGCCGCTGGGGTCCCTGTGGGCTAGGGAGCATCAGGGGAGCGGCAGGGCAGGGCTCATCCCACCGCCCCAGTCCCGGACACTGGACACCTCCCTGCGGACGGGACGCGGGGTGTCCTCACGGGGATTAGCAGGCCACGGCCAGGCAGGGGCCCGACTGCACCGAAAGCGGCTCCCAAGGGCCGGGGTCAGCGCCGGCCGCAGCCTCCCCGCAGCGTTGCAGCGGGACGGGGTTGCTCCTGGCCGCGCCAGCGCCCCAGTCCTCGCAGCCGGACCCCCAGGAGGGGCACGCTCCCAGGGCCCTCGCGCAGGGGACACGTTACAGCAGGCAAACGTTGCTCCTTCGCACGAGTACAGCGACTCATTCCCTTTTCCTCGTGTCTTCCCACGTACAAGGAAATCATTCGGTGAGCATTTGAGCTTCAAGGAGCCCTGAAAGCAGTGCGGTATTTTGTGTCCCAAACTTTGGTCTTTTCACTAGACTACGCAAGCCTCCCAGCTGCTCTCCTGGGTTTTATGCCTCTGTTACTCTCTTTCCTAGTAGTTTGCTTTGCTTCCAACCCTTGACCTCCGTATCAGATGTACATGCACACAACTACCGTCTCCTATTCATTACTTCGAGACTAATGCAGACCATGACTATGCAAATCCAAGTTATTTTTTGTCCAAGGGAAATGACACATACAGGCTCAGTTCCATGAGGAGACTGGTGAACAAGGTGTATCTGCCGTTCCACGTCAAATCTGAATGGACAACTCAATTCATCATAACTGGAAAGCCTTTCAAATTCAGCATCCAACAGCAGTCGAGATGCAGGAGAAGGGAAAGGGTTTGAGATTGACAACAAGCACAAAAGTGTTGACAAAGGATGCTCCAAGTCCGCAGTGACTGAGCAGACAACACCCTCCTCAGGTGCCTCTTTTTAAGTGAGTCATTGTTATCCTTCGAAAATCATTATCCTTCAGAAAAAACCCCAACCTATAAATAGACACTCCCTAGTCAAACAATATGAATAGTTCTAATATTGCACTAAGTTGCATATTTTGTATGGACAGTATCATTGCACATTGAAGTCATAAAAGATGTCACCTTTGTGAAACTGCTTTCCTAAACACATTTAAAGGCCACTGTATTAATATAAACACTGATGATTATAGTCCATTAGAGAAAGGACATGAGTCTTTGTTTTCACAGACTGCTAGGTGAGAAATGGTACTATATCATGGGCCTCATTTGTAAATCATAACTTTATGGCTAACTCTAATGCTCCCCAAAACTTTGAAGTTGCCATAACCATCAGTAACTAATAGAACTTAAGGATTAAAATTAACATGAAACATCTCCATATCCGGTTTGCTATGTTTCCTAACTGGAGTCAAGTAGAAGAACAGACACGCCACCAAATCCAGCATTATACCTTGACACAGTTCACCCAGGAAAACAGGATCAGGTTGACTTACGGCACTGTGTTCCAGCCACTGGGCAACCCTAAAACACACTACCTAGAATTTGTTTAAGTGTGGCCTGATTCCTGAAATTTTCTATCGCACAACAGCAGAGCTAATACACCAACACAAGAGCACCTTTTGAGGCTTGAATTAGAAACTGCATGTGTTTGAGCTGAAAAGAAGGAAAATTATTACAAACAAACCACATGCAAATTGCAAGTATTTTTACCAAGAATATGTGAATACTTTTAAATCAATCTGAACTTTTGATATATTTAAAAGACTTGCAGACACCATGTATCCATTAAAGTTTCCATTACAATACCAAATAAACACGTTCCATGAATTTCTCAACGAGATTATTGTCAGGAAAAATTCAACCCTGCTGCTAAAAACTCAAGAATCTTGAGTGGCAACAGAATGCACATTTGACAAATATTAATTTGGTAATTTTCTCTGAAGCTTCACTTTTCCATCCATCGAAAGATTTCCAGGGTTTGTAACACCCTTTCTTCTTCTCTACCACTACCTCAACTTCCCTATACCAGTTCTTCTCCCCTCATCTGTCTACAAACAGCAACTTGATCCCACCCCTCCTGAAATTAAGAATTTAATGGAGCATATATCCATAGCAGCCTTTCATCAGTCTTCATGCTCATTACTCACACTCCTTCCATTGCAGAAAAGCCCATCTTGGAAGAACCTGTGCATACCTGAAATTCTTGCAGACCCAGATGGGGATCTGAAAGCCATCTTCCAATACTAGAGTAGGGAGATAGAATCTACAACGCCTTCTACACAGTCACCCAATTCAAGAACATTGGAAGAACAGTTGGTCAGGAAGACTTATGCAGCTCTGCTTGCTCTTAGGAATGAGGCAACACCACAGTTTGCACGTGGGTTTGATTTTTGGTTTCCATACCACTACCACCCCCCAAAGAAAGGGATCAGCCTGGGTCCTTTCTAAGCCAGCTGCAATTGTGGCTTTTTTATGTGGGTATTAATCTATCGATGTCTGGACCAAACAGCCGCACTTTTTCTCCCCTTTCAATACAGCTATGGTCTGTGTACAGCAGCTTTAAAGATGTACTGAAATGGTCTACATTTGCACTTGCAGTTAAGATGAAAAGCAATATCTTCAACTGGTCTAAGTAGCTTCAAAGAAGTCAATGGTATAACTCCATGCCCATTCATTAGAACTAAGAATTTGGTTGTAAAACTCACTCCTATGGGGTGTTTTCTGATACAAGAAAAAAAAAGCTACAAGAAAAAAATCCTCTGTTGTAATGGACCAGAGGAGTGTTATAGAAGTGACAAGATACTTACCATATTCCTATTAAACGAAAGAACACTGATCCACCACTGACTTTTCTATCAGCTTCCTTTTCCTCCTCATATAAAAACTGACAAGTATGGCTCATTTTTAAATATGTTCTTTCTCTCACCAGACTCTAACCTGATGGCCATCACTGGAACTTGCTGCTGACAGTGTAAAGCCCCAGCCTGGAGCAGAAAGAAGCCAAAAAGGGCCACCAATGTTAACATTTTTTCATTGTCCTTGGGTCCAGTTGGCATCGTTTAGCACAGTCTCACCCTACAATGAAGCACGGACACCTATCACCTGTGTGCTATTTCTACAGTTCTCTCCCTCCCACCAAAGAACTTGAGGTGGGTGGTTTGAGACTTCTAGCTGCTACCTAAATGAAACACGCGCGGCTTCAGGTATCGAAGGCGTTGGCTATCCTTTTGTTATTGTCAAGAAAGGATGGTGCTGGGGAATGGAGAGTGGGGAGGGAACGACAAAAAACCTTGACAAAATTGTTCAAACATGGGAATGACAGAGTGAAGCAAAAGTCAACTTTAGTATTTCAAACGGGGGGGGGGGGGATCAACACCAAAAAAACAACCAAAAAACCCCAGGCCCTTTTCTAAGAATTCTTGCCAGCTAAAAGGCTCAGTTTTAGCTCCACTGCAAAGCTTTCTTCTACAGAAGAGGAGACTAGAGAACCCAGAGAGGCCACTGCCAAAGTCTTAACAACATGAACTGCCACAAAAACTCTTCTAAAACACTGTGCATCTTCATTTTATCATGCGCATAGGAACAGGTATAAATATACACTGATGCGAGTTGAAGGTAATTGTAAGCAAGTACCAAGACAGAGCAGAGTCTACTCACCTGCAGTCACCTTATTTAAAGCCACGAGAGAGCTGAGAACTTTGCTGAAATTCTGTCCCTGATACAGGTCATTTGCATCAAAAGTCTGAAAACAAAACAACAAGCAGTAAGTCATAGAAACAAGCCTTTAAACTAAGCATTTCTATGCTACCGTGCAAACCATGACTGTAGAATCTATTGCCTAATAAAGGTATCAGTCTTTCAGTGGCTGCTATAGACCAGTAAAACTCTGGGGGTTCCCCCACTCCCCCCTTTTTTTTTTAATTAAAAAAAAATCAATTCATTTTTAAATAGAAAGAGAATATAGAAACAGCTGCATTTGGGAAAAACTGAAGAACATAAGCTAAAAATACCAAGTGTCATTTAAATTACAGGGAAGTTGAATAAAACATAATTATCAGAAGAGAGAAGCTTTCCTCAGACATTTTGGCCAAAGAAGTTACTGGGTACCATTACTCTTGGCATACTCTTCTTTTTCTGTAGCAGCTCACAGGCACTGTACCTTACTATTTATAAAGTACTTTTAAAATTACTACAAGTACTTTAAAAAGCACAACAACAACGTACATGCTATCTCTTTATTCTACAAGACACAGAGGAAAGCAGCACTCCTGAAAATCAATAAATTTTACAAAGAGTGAAGTTGCTGGATAGGTTAGATGGAAAATGAGGTTTGGGAAGGGGAGGGATGAAAGCTGAGGGTTATTTTATTTTTATTTTTTAACTGTGGGAAAGAGATCCAAACCTCAAACTATCTTGTAGAAAACACTCCAGTAACTTTCAAGCACTGGGTGATGATATTAAACATCTGGATTTTCAGGGGGGAAAGAGGAGATTAAAAAAAAAAAAAAAAAGAGAGAGACCGACCAATAATATTTGCCTGAGGTAATGGAAACACTCATCCAAAGTCTCATGAAAATAGCTCTCACAATAGATTCTGCATAGGTCGAAAGCAGTCACAGTACTCCCTTGTACAAGACTAAAAAGAGGACAATAAAAAGACAGCTATCACAGTTGTTCCAACTGATTTAAGAAACAGAAAGAGATTTAGTTTCCCACAGCGTAGCAGTTTTCATCTAAAAAGTCAACAAAAACCTGTTTATTTTCCTGATAACAGACCCATCCCACAGGCACTATCTGGACCTCAGAAAGCAGCCTTCAGAGGCAGGAGAGGAAAAACCCATATTCCCAGGGGAGAAGAGAGAAAGGGACAAAGGAAGGCTAGCTGAACCCAAAAGAAGTGAAAATTTTCATGAAAGCTATCTAAAGTAACCACAGAAGGGGCTGCCAGATCAGTTGTGACTGGTTATGTGATATACTGACAAAGGTAGAGCACATTTAGAAAACATTTAATGACAGTATTATTCAGGAAGGAAAAAAATCTCCCAAAGCGTTTACAGTATTTAAGGTACTTGCATATCTTAACATGCACATTTTTGCCCCTCAGACTGAGGATCATCTCTGGTCCCAGCAAGCAGCAGTTCTACCTCGGCTGTTCAGGTGCCGACATCTCTCAAGCTCAGGTAGTGTGTATACAGCTCAGAAGAGCAATGCCACAAAGCAGATGCAGAATCAAGCAGAGGCAAACACTAATATACGCCAAGCAGTTACCACTCACATAAAATAAGTGAGGTAAGTATTTCATCGAGTTTCACTGGGCTACAGATAATTTAAAGACCACTCTTATTTATTTGAAACTGTAAGGAGTAAGGAGAGGGACCAGGAAATTGCCTAGATGTGAATTTTGTAGGGTTTTTCCTGAAAGATGAGGAAGTATTTAAAGACTATATACACAAAAAAGGCATTATGCAAATAAGAAATAATCCGATTTTACAAAAAGAATAAAGATATGTTAAGTTTTACTAATAGCATAATTTATTATAAATAGAGATGAGAAACAACACCAATAAGGTGGCAGCAGAATATATAAAATCTGCCTTAAACGCAAAACCAGACTGGAGATCAGCCTAACCACTGCTCAAATTGGGGAAAAAAATTCAAGCTGTTATGGAACAAGAAAGCATCAGGAGTGTAAAATTTTCATTGCTAGCTACATGCATGTTGTGGTAGTTTTTAAACAAGCAAACTAAAAGTACAAACCGAATCGCAAAACTATGGTCCCAATCCTAAAAAAAGGAAATACATGAGACACATATGCTTGTGTGGACACCAGTACTGGATCAGAAAGGTACTACAGGTGAGAGAGAGCGCTATTAAAAAAAAAAGAATGTTTAAGACAAAGGTTATAAACTATAGCTTAAACTTACAAAAACTTTAATAAAAAAAAAAAAAAGAAAAAAGATCCTAAATCCATTTTAAGCTCACCTTCATTCTGGATTCTGATAGAGCCAAGAGCTCTCCAAAGTCAGGCTAACTGGAGAACAACAGGATGCGAGGAAGCCTCGTTTCCTGCTATGCAGAGACTATAGGGGATACCAAGAACGATTTGATTGGATCATTGCAACACGTATAGTGCCATAAAAAAGCCTGTATCCAGGACACGCATCCAGTCTGCTACTTCACAGGAAACAACACAATGGGAGGATACGAGAAACATTTGCTTCCTTGCGATTTTGCATAAAGCAATTCTGACAGGAAGGCACCCTCCGCACGCTCACGGCCGGCATGTTCAATAGTAGCATCTGATAAAGGGGGAGGGGGACGTGACACCCTCCAGAGAGATTTGTCTTCTAACATAACAAATGTTTACGAATAAACTAACCTAGAGAGATAAAAAGTGAGGAAAAAAGCTTAGGTGCTCTAAAGTTTTGAGGCTAATTCGTTATGAACTCAACTACTTGACTACAAAAACATTGTTTCAAAAAACTAAACCAGAACAAAAAACCCCACAAACCCACACAACAAAAAAACCCACCAAATGCTCACACCCTTCTATCTTAGTGGAGGTTTGCTCATTTCACAACATATTTGAAAACTGACATGAGTAAAAGCATCAAAATGCTTTAAGAGGATCTTCCATAGGATTGCCAGAGAAAACAGTCTGCTCCAGGTTTTCAAGAGAAGTCCGACCTGCATGTGGACTACAATCTTCATTCTGGTATTTATGGACAGATCAGCTGTGAGAACTGACTCTTTAAAGTATGATATCTTGATGCGAGAAAGTCATTCAGTAACTTCCCTATTCAGTGTCACTGGATGACAAACACCCCCCCCCATACAACACCCTCAATTCTGCAAGAATTAAAGCTGAATTTTGAGATCCAAGTATCAAGCAAAGTTATTTTTATATTGCAAACTATCACCAAATAACAAGGTCTGCATGCTAAATTACCTTCTAGCATAACCCACTTTTCAAATCCTGTCAGAAGCACGTGAATTCAAACTTGCACATGCTTACAGCTCTTAAAGCCTAAAAATGCAAACACTTAGAAAGGTATTACCTTGGAGATACTGAGATTTGTCTTTTAAGCATTATGCAACAGGCATATATAGACATTAAAAAAGGCTTTATGGAAAAATATTGCCAATATGCCCTTGCTTTCCAGGCAAACAATATCTTTAACTGCAGACACTCCTCCTGTGATGACATTTACCCTCTTGTTCATCCAATCCTTATCTTCCACCAAGACAGATAAAACAATAGCCAGGATGCAGCTTTAAAAGAGTCATAAGTCACATTGGATGAGGACCCAGCCAAGCAAAATCTTTTGAACAAACTGTTTAAATAACATACCTTCGTTTTTAAATTCCATAGAACTGACCACATGCAGATATGCCTTATATAAGCATTAACATGAAGCACACCTATTAAATAAAGACAGACCAGGACTGTATTAGGAGCCTTACACTAGAAACACTTTGCAATTTATAAATAGTTAGCTGGGAACCAATGAACTTCAAGCTTAGCAGACTCATCCCTGTATGCCTGTTATTATCTGCCTGTTTTCCTGGGTTTTAACATCTTTCTCGCATTCTTCTGTTCTCTCCTGGATTTCAACATTTGACACATCGATATCCCAGGCAGATACCATACTCTAGAAGCAGACCAGATCAAACTGCCTAATAACAAGGGGTCTTACGTGATCCTACGTGACACTACACATATTCTTAAGAACATGCTGGCCCTTTCGGTCACAGGACACTGACTGCCAAAGCCTGCTGATTGCCTACCCTGACCCACAGATTCTGGCTTCCCTTTCCACACCCCCCACCAATTCCAAATATACAAGCCTGGCTTTCCATAACTATGCCTGCATTTTTTGCCCCTAGGATTTCAATTGGCTGCAAACTTATTAATAACAACTTTATGACTACTTCCAGGTCATTAATGAAATGTTAAATAACATGGTTGAGTACCAATGGCAGCAAATCCTCTATAGCAAGGTGTACATTGGATGGCCATTCTACATTTGTATTAAAGCCTATTAATAAGCCAGTTTTTAAATTCATTTCACATGAGCCATATTGATTTTTCCATCACTGACATTTCTTAAACACAAAACTAAATGCCTTAGAGATCCATTTCATCCACATGCTGGTTGTTCAACTACCAAATCCATCCTCACATTTTAAGGCAAGACTGACCTCCGCATGCATCTGTTTGAACTCCATCACATGCAAAATGGCCATGGTAATACACTCAGGTAATTTTAAGTCATCTCAACCACTAACCCTCAGTGAACAGAGACTTCCATTCAAATGGTGTTTATGATCTAATAGCAATAAGGAAATAAAACTAACATAACAATGCTCGTCCTTGATATCCCTGCAGCAATCAGTACCTACTGAAATTGGAAAAACATTAATTGAGGAATTAGTGAAAGAAAAAGTCAGGTAGAAAATGAGGTTGAGAATATACCTGGTGAGAGCAGACTAAAGCATACAGTAAGCCTGCAGCAGCATTCTTTTCTTCAGCTCAGTCAGTTTCAAGGCCTCATATATCCTTTACACTATTTTATTCCCCCCTTCTAGCCCGTTAAGTCAGAAGCCAGTTACAGAAGAAATATTTTTAAATTAAGGTACTTCTCCTGTTACGGTAAGGTCTACAGCTGGAGACAGGAAAAAAATCTGGGGCGGTTCAGCCAAGCTTCCAAACACTTGCTTTTTCTTCAAGCGTGTCTTCTA